CATCCATCCATCCATCCATCCATCCATCCATCCATCCATCCATCCATCCATCCATCCATCCATCCATCCATCATGTTTACCTGCTTCTTCCTTTTCGGTCATGTGGGTCACTGGTGTTCTGTTCTGTACGGAGGAATGGGCTAAAATTTTTCCAAGCTGGTATGCAAAACTGATCAACAGTTGCCAGAAATGTTTAGCTGCAGTAATTGCTGCACGGGGGGGTGGGGGGGGGGGGGGGGGGTGGGGGGGGGGGTGGGGGGGGGGGGGGTGTTCACATCAGGTACTGAAAGCAAAGGTTCACATACTTTTACCTCTCACAGATGTGTAATATTGGATCATTTTTCTCAATAAATAAATGACCAAGTATAATATTTTTTGTCTCGTTTGTGTAACTGGGTTCTCTTTATCTACGTTTAGGACTTGTGTGAAAATCTGATGATGTTTGAGGTCAGATTTATGCAGAAATATAGGCTTCACAAACTTTTAAGCACACTATAACACACAAAACACTATGTTTCAAAACAATTTAGGACCCTCTGGACCTCCACATGTTGCCCCATGAGATGTGTGGTCGTCTTGTTTTCAGAGTGTGAAAAAGAGCGAGTATCTTGGGGGGGACAGTTTGGGTCCAGAGAGCAGCTGAAACAAGAAAGACTTGTCAGCGTAACTGCTCTGGGACTCCCACCAGGCAGGAGACCTACAGTCTGCTCTGCATATGGGCTGCCACATCCCATAATAGGAGTGAAGAATACTCTTGGTAAAAGTATGTTTGTGATATTCTGTGCTCTGGCCTCAGGTAGAATGACTCATGCAGACTCCCGATCCAACCCCAGCTCTGTGCTGCTGTTTGAAACTGCGACGGGTGGCTGTTTGGCTGACAGGGGTGTCAAACAGCAAAGCAGAGATCAATGGGGCACTGGGATGAACTGTGGAGTTTGTTGACCTAACTGACACCAGAACCCTGTTAGCTTTGGACCACGCTGTGCTGTCTGGTCTGATTTTAAGCTACCTCCTGTGCTGAGCCCTTTACCAGAACAAACTGCTGTTCTGGGACCATTTCCACCGTATCAAGCAGCTTGTGCCAGACAGGAGGCTGGAGCAAACACTTCAGTGATGTTTCCGCTCTTGTAACTTTGCTCCTTAAAGAGATAGTCAAGTAATTTTCTAAGTTGAAGGTTGGTTAAATTCTGTGATGAATCGGCGGCCTGTCCAGGATTTATCACACCTTTTGCCCAAAGACTGCTGAACAGTCGATGCAAATGCCTATAAGGTACAAGTAAAAACACTTTGACTTCACACCGCTTCAAAAACCATCATACTGTCCCCTTAAAGTTACCTGCTTTCCCCGTCTGAATCTCAATGTTCTGGCTGAAGCGTCCACAGCCGGCTGAAGTTCTGGCTCGGACCTGGAAGATGTACTTAGTGCCTGGCTTAAGCCCCGTCACCCGGGCACTGGTGTTGGTGGACTTGAGAGTGGAGTAACTCTGCGCTTCATTATCCTGTTGAAGAAGACAATGTAGAAACTAGCTTTGTGTAGATCTGCATAATGTGCACTTACCAGACAAAATTACAAATGAGGTAAAACACAGCTATATTTTAATATATTTTCTATAAATCCATTGAGAGAACTGCAGAGCATGAACATATATTTTTTAGCTCATCTTTGGATCAGCTGCAATGTTCAACCAATAACATGCCTTATTCTAAAACTGATTTATTCTACAATGGACCATTATAATAAAACAAACAAACAAATAATTAAACAAATAAAGCTCTTTAAAAAGTGATGTCACCACCACTGCTATTGTTCTGATGAGACTTCGAAGGAGACATCACATTTCTCCACTTTCATCTTCTCTCCACTGACTCCCAGTCAGAAATGAAACTGTTCATACAAAACTTATATTACAGATCTGATTCTTCTATTGATTTCAAATAGAGCACTTCACTTTCAGACTGCAGGTTTACTTGTTGTTCCTAGGGTTTCTAAAACAAGAATGGTAGGCATAGCTTCCAGTTACCAGGCTCCTCTTTTGTGGATACAACTTCCAGGTTCTGCATGTGAGGCTGACTCGGTCTCCTTTAAGACAAGGCTGAAGACTTACATTTGTGAAAAATCCTATAGTTAGGGTTGGCTTGGGTTTCCTGAACTATCCCTAAGTTATGCTGCTATAGGCTTAGACTGTTGGGGGACAAACTGAACAACTCTTTTAATTCTGCTGCTGTCTTTATTCTTCATGTTTGTATTTGCAGTAATTGTTATCTTTAAAGTGTCTTTCTTCAGATAGAAATTACACCTGGACCAAAGGATCTACAGTGGCTTTGTGTCTGGGAAGAAAAAATCAGCCTGCAGTCCAGATCTTTCACCTATAGAGAACATTTGGCGCATCATAAAGAGGAAGGTAAGACAAAGAAGGCCCAAGACGATTGAACAGTTAGAGGCCTGTATTAGACATGAATGGGAGAGCATTCCTATTTCTAAACTGGAGAAACTGGTCTCCTCTGTCCCCAGACGTCTGTTGAGTGTTGTAAGAAGAAGGGGGGATGCCACGCAGTGGGAAAAATGGACTTGTCCCAACTTTTTTGGGATTTGTTGACGCCATGAAATTTGGAAACAACAGATTTTTCCCTTAAAATGATACATTCTCTCAGTTTAAACTTTTGATCTGTGATTTGTGTTCTATTCTGAATAAAATATTAGATGTTGGCA